GTTTTTTAAAGAGATTATTGTTTTTGGGCAGTTAATTGGTCTTAAACGGCTAAATGTGAGATGGTGCTTTTTTTTTTCCTTTTGACTTACTGTAATATTTTGAACTGCACAGGGAACGTTAAAGTGAACAGTTGATATTTGTTTACATCCAAATGAAATATCAGTGAACACGTACTGTAACAGTCAGCTACAGTGTTTGTGTGAATGTTTACAGCGTTTAAAACAGTTGTGATAAACTTGAAATGGCTTTTTTTTTTTTTCCCCCACAGTGTGGTCTTTTGGCTGATCAGACCATATCCTCCTCACTGTGGAGCGCACGTCCTCAAAGTTAATCTCCCGAAAGGTGTGCAGTTGTCGGAAAGGTTTTTAAAGCTCCGAGTCGCATTACAGTTTGTCGTATTTCCTTGCAGTACCTTAAATGTATGGACAAAAAAAAAGTGACCTGTCCTCACAAGCTGGAGCCTTTTCTATAAAGCAATGTATCTGGGGCTTCACTGCTTCATTTAATCTTTGAATAAATACCCCTGACATGTCCATGGCATGGTTTGAAACCTTGATTAATTATTTTTTGGGTTTTTTATGCGGGAATAAGAAAACAAATCTGGTCAAAATTAGAGAAAAACATGATGGTGCAGACAATGTGTGACCAGCAGGGGGCGCCACTGGCTCATACAAACCCACTAAATTCATCAAAGTGGGGATTAAGTACAGGTATTTTCCAAAATATTCAATGTATTCAGGCAAAAATTAACAACTTATCGTATTTTATTAATATTTTTCAATAAAATACCTCAGGAAGTGGTACTGGATGACTATATTGAGACTTTTCAACACCATTTTTCCACTGTTTGGAAACTGGAAAATGGATTAATAACCCAAAGTGTGAGTGTATAAGTTTAGTTTCCGTTAAGTTTATGTATGATTGAGATATATCTGAGGATTGGGCTTTCTTTTCCCTTATTCCAGAGTTTGAAACCTGGATATAAACTCTTATTTACTTAATATTTAATTGCTCTTAACTCTTACTGGGGAGTATTATGTAATAACACTGTAATATACAGTGTATAATATAAATCAATATACATATGAATACCTATAAATAGTTTCTACTGAACAATCCACAAGTTCTTTTTCCATTAAACTAATCAGAAGATAAAATACTTTGAGCTAACTGACGTAATCTGAGGAGCTTTTGAGTAATTTTTACCGGCTTGAAC